TGTTTGTGATCCTCGGCATCCCAGTCACAAACTTGAAGGGCATAATCGAGATTAAACATGTCATTGAAAATTTCAATGAATCTCAAAAGATCTAGGAGTTTCAATTAATTTAAAACCTAATTTTAAATTTTTGTTTTTCATGGTGGAAATTGGTAAATCGTCATTTACCTACCTTCAAATGTTCTGCAATTTGGATTACGACACCCCTCTTCCAAATTGTAGAATATTGTGTTGGATCCTAGCCTTAATATTTTATTTGGGTGTTATATTAAGGATTGAATCAACTAAATTGAATTTCTCCCGTTTTGTAGATGTCAAAATCTAACAACTATGGTCTTCCCAAATCCTTTGGAAAAAGCTTTCCGCGTGAAGATGATGTTCCACGATTGGATTGTGGAAATAGAAATCATTCTTCACTTCCTCCACCTCCTCCAATAATTCTCTCTGACCCATGTGTTCGAAGACTTGAAAAGTTCAAGATCACTCAAGCCCTATTGGCAAACAAACACAAAGATGGAAAGTCAATATGTGCTCATGTCTTTGATATGAAGTTGCATATTGACAGATTGAGAATTTTGGGTGTCAAAGTCTCTAGGAAGCTGGCTGTTGACTTGGTTCTTCAATCACTTCTTGACTCATATAGTGAGTTCATTAGAGAGTACTATATGATGGACCACGACATGACCCTTATTGATTTGACTTATTTGCTTACTGTTGCTGAATCAGAAATGATTTGGTGGACTGGTCAAGCAAATTTGTCTGGTAAATCAATGTCGCAACCTTCTATGGACAATGGCAACATTGGAAGTCCAGAAAAGTTTTCTCTACACAAGAGAAAGGCTAAGTCTGAGATAGTTCCTTGTGTCATTCCCAAAGAGTCTGTGTGTTTCTATTGCCAAATGAAGGGGCATTGGTCACGAAGCTGCCCTAACTACCTGAGAGATCTAAGAGATAGGAGAGTCAAGAAGTATGACTCTACTTCAGGTAAAATCCACTAACTAACTCTATTAAGTTCCTATTTGTATATTCTTAATACATGATGTGATATGATTACATTTTGATGTTTTGTAGGATCGAAGAAAAGACATAAAGCTTAAAGGAATAGTGAGCTGAGTCTGATCACGAAGAAATGGATTTCGATCGCATAATTCAAAGATCGGATTTTTGAGCTGTTGTTTAAGAGTTATGATAGATTGCTTAGGAATATGTAATAAGCATAGTTTTCATTTGAATTGCGTTGTAAGGACACGTTTTTCCGCGTTTTATAAATAAATGAAATTTTGAGTTTTTTCTTATTTATTTATCCTTGCAATGTTATTTGTGAAAATTGATGTTTGTTTGTTTATATTGTTAGCAATATTGAAATGGATATGATTCTTAGTTATGTTATTTGTGGTAGTGTCAGAAATTTACCAGATAAGGAAAGATTCTCATCGCCCAAGTTTCAATTGGACAGAAACTTGGAATCATGCAACTGGTATTGTATGATGAATGAGAAACTTCGTATTTGGGAAATTAAGACTAATTCCTTGTTCACATAAGTATGTGAGTCGAGTAAAGGACTAAAGGATTTAGTACGCATTGTTGTGCACTAGGTCGAGTACACCACAAAGAACGATAAAATATTCGTCATGATTTGCTAAAAGATTAGTAAATGTGGTTATACTTAAAAGATTAAGTATGATTATGAATCATTGGAAAAGTTTCAATGAATAGCAGAACGAATAAGAAAAATCAATTAGGCAGAAAGATAAAAGTTTCTCCAATCTGAAAATATGGGAGAGTACTTTATGATTAACTTAGTGATTATAAAACCGTGTCATAATTTATCCTCTAAGGACACCTTAGTACACTAGTATGGCTAAGAAGAGGAATCAGCAATTGTTGAAATGGTTAAATCAAAAGGTGAATCATACTTCGTTCCAAAATCGAGTCTTAGAGTCATACTCTAAGATTGTGACTTGAGTGACACGTCTTAAGAAGTTTTAACACACTCATCAAATGTGGAGTAGGAAAATGTTTGTCTCACTCTTGCACGTTTGAAATTGGTAAGTTGTGATGTCTTGGATAAGAAAAAGACTAACTAAGACCAATTGTGTGTAGTGTTTGTCTTGATAAGGACCCACAATAACTCTTGAATATTTGTTTGTCAAGGAATGTTTCTTGACAAGGGAATCTTATATGTCAAGAGGTCAGTGGGAGTCTTAATGGTCTTGAAAAGCTTCAAGAATTGATCAAACACTAGCACACGACTTGAGGTTTGCAACCTATCGTGTTGACATATTTTGTTTCTGTGCCCATTCCAGTAAAGTTGACTATACATGTGAGTTTCATGAGTTCTC